CCCGTTCCGGAATAGCTACTCAAAGCCCAACAAACCATCGATGTTGACCTGGAGAGTCTCAAACAGTGGCTGAACGGGGAGTGTGAAGGCATCCCTGCAATTGGGATTCCTTCCAGAGTGCATGTGACTTTCTGGCTTCTTTCCTCTTGCAAGCCGGTTTTGGCGGTGACATCGTTGGCTAACTTTAGAGTTTATGTAGAGTGTGAAAATCTGGGAAGTTGCTGATTTCCAGATAATGAACTGAAAGAGCCTTTTCTGACATCCTGTTGAGCCTCTTCCAATTCTTGCTTAATGTTTTTGCAAGAAAGAAGGAAGGAAGGAAGGAAGGAAGGAAGGAAGGAAGGAAGGAAAGAAAGAAAGAAAGAAAGAAAGAGGGAGGGAGGAAAGGAAACAAGGAAGGAAACAAGAAGGAAAGAAGGAAGGAAGGAGGGAGGGAGGGAAGGAAGGAAGGAGGAAAGAAGGAAGGAAGGAAGACGGAAAGAAGGAAAGAAGGAGGAAGGGAGGGAGGGAAGGAAGGAAGGAGGGAGAGAGGGAGGGAGGGATAGGAGAGAAAGAAAGAAAGAAACAGAAGGAAGGAAGGAAAGAAAAAAGTTGGAAGGAACCTTGGAGGTCTTCTACTCCAAACCCCTGCCCAAGCAGGAAACCCTACACCAAAGCCTCCAGAGATGGAGCATCCAAACTCTGGGACAAAAGCTATTCCATTGATTAATTATTCTCACTGTCAGGAAATGTCTCCTTAGTTCCAAGTTGGGTCTCTCCTGAATGATCTTCCACCATTTACTTTGCTTTTCACTTTATTTTACTTTGAATAGAATAGAATAACAGAGTTGGAAGGGACCTTGGAGGACTTCTAGTCCAACCCCCTGCCCAGGCAGGATACCCTACACCACTTCAGACAAATGGTTATCCAACCTCTTCTTAAAAACTTCCAGTGTTGGAGCATTCACAACTTCTGGAGGTAAGTCGTTCCATTGATTTAATTGTTCTGTCAGGAAATTTCTCCTTAGTTCTAGGTTGCTTCTCTCCTTGATTAGTTTCCATCCATTGCTTCTTGTCCTGCCCTCAGGTGCTTTGGAGAATAGCTTGACTCCCTCTTCTTTGTGGAAGCCCCTGAGATACTGGAAGACTGCTATCATGTCACCCCTGGTCCTTCTTTTCATTAAACCAGACATACCAGTTCCTGCAATTGTTCTTCCTATGTTTTAGCCTCCAGTCCCCTAATCCTCTTTGTTGCTCTTCTCTGCACTCTTTCTAGAGTCTCCACATCTTTTTTACATCATGGTGACCAAAACTGGATGCAGGATTCCAAGTGTGGCCTTACCAAGGCCTTATAAAGCGGTATTAACACTTCACGTGATCTTGATTCTATCCCTCTGTTGATGCAGTCTAGGGATTATGTTGGCTATTTTGGCAGCTGCAGCACATAGCTGGCTCATATTTAAATGGTTATCCACTAAACAATCACTCTGTTTAACAACAGAAATTGTGTCCCAATTAAGATTATAAATTGAGATTATCATGTATAGGTAATTTTGGTTTCCGGCTCTGTGTAGCAACCGTTTGAAATTAGGAAACATTGAAAAAAGTAACTTTACATCCAGAGGAGTTCAACTTGGGGGAAAAAAATCTAAATACTATCCCAGACATCAAGAAGTAGCTAAGACTGAGAAATCATAACAAGATTCTTTTTATTATTTTAAATACGATTTATTTTATAAAATGCATATAAAATCCAAAGTATAAAAATATAAAACATTTACGCCATTGAAGCATCCGTAATTTTTCACACAGTCACATAAAACATTGTGAGAGCTAGCACCAAACAGATCATTGCTTGGCACCTCTTTCAGTCCAAAGTGAAAATTCTGTTGCTTTGGCCCAAATAAATATATTATTATTATTATTATATTAATTAATAATTATTAATTATTATTATCATCATTAACATCATCAAGAACAACAAACAAGAGTCTTAAGAATATTCTAGTGCGGAAGCTCCCAAAAACATAAGTCCCAAACTTTGGACAGGACACAAAATACATTCTATTCAAATCCTAAGGCACAATCATGATGCTTTAAGTTGAGGAAGTTGAAGATCTTTGTTCCCCTTGTGCTAGAGGTTGAATCTGACCCAGGTTCCTTCCTATATACCTTCCTCATCTCCCTGTCACCTCCAAAACTCCAAAGAGCGGATATTCAGGGTGGGGTTTCCTCCATTTTTACAGCTTTCCAAAGTTAGGAAATTCTGACCTTGTCAATCATCCATCTCAAAAGGCTGGTAAAGAGAGAAGGTTATAGAAGCGGAGAAACGGGACAGGTAAACTTCCTAGCCTTTAAAAAGTTGGAGAGAAGGAGTTGGACCAGGAGTCTACGCCAAGCAATGGGAGCTAAATAATTTTTTTTTAAAATGAAGTCTTCAAAGGACTAAGTTGTGCTGCAGAACCTGGATGGTTCAACACAACCGAGGTGCCACCTTTGAAAGACCTATGCAAATATATTTATCTCTCTATACCCTGTTTCCCCAAAAATAAGACCCAACCGGAAAATAAGTCCTAGTGTGATTTGTCAGGATGCTCGTAATATAAGCCCTTCTCTCCCTCCCAAAATAAGCCCCAGTTAAGATTGTCAGCCAGATGGATGCATTTAGTATCGTATTTCCCCCCCCCCCAAAATAAGACCTAACCAGAAAATAAGTCCTAATGCATCTTTTGGAGCAAAAATTAATATAAGACCTGGTCTTATTTTCGGGGAAACATGATATTTATTTTTTAAAGTAGTTTTGTCATTTGTCAGGGATACCCCGAGAATGTCTCTGGAGGTAACACTTCAAGCAAACTAAATTCTCAGTAGCGAGGGAGCCCCAGATAGCGGTGCCTGATTAACCATGTCAGTTACGAATCCAGGGGCTGCATTCATAGAACATACTAAAGCACAGTTGGGTTTTCAATCTTGGCTAGGTTTGGTTTTCTCCGGGGGCCCACCGTGCAGTGGGGTTTTAGTTTCAGTCTTAGGTCTTGTGCAAAGATAGAAAAACAGGCGAATTTGGTCATTGTGAAGGCCAAACATGGTTTGTGAATGCATCTAATCCAGGGGTGAAATGCTCCCGGTTCGGACCGGATCGTCCGATCCGATAGCGATGGAGGCGGGTGGTTCGGAGAACCGGTAGCAAAAATCCCTGCCCCCCCCATGCCAAGCTGAGCCGCGTGATCATCAGAGGCTTTTTTTTTCTTTTAAAAGCATTTTTTCTACAACCTCTTCGGCCAAAAAAAAATGCTTTTAAAAGTAAAAAAAAAGCCTCTGATGATCGCGCGGCTCAGCTGGGATCATCAGAGGCTTTTAAAAGCATTTTTTCTACAACCTCTTTGGCCAAAGAGGTTGTAGGGGGGAAAAAATGCTTTTAAAAGGCTCTGACGATCCCAGCTGAGTTGCCTGATTGTCAGAGCCTTTTAAAAGCATTTTTTCTACAACCTCTAGAAAAAATGCTTTTAAAAGTTTTTTTTTTAAAAAAGTTGGCCACGCCCACCCAGTCACACCCACAGAACCGGTAGTATCTAATTTTACATTTCACCACTGATCCAATCTACAGATTAGAAGATGCTTAAGTACACACCCAACCAATTTGCTGGCCTACATCAAGATGAATTGCGTGGAACTGAATCGATGCATTCATTTCGTTCGGCATCCACCCGTTTGCTTGGAGGGAAAAATACATTTTTTCCATTACAGTTTTGTTTTGCATACATTTTTTTAAGTTTCCCTTTTGCATCGGGGCTAGGATTAGAATTAGGGTCAGCTGGGATTATTCTATTCCTCAACATTCGGAATTATTGCACCTTTTCTCTCCATCTCTCTCTCTCTCTCTCTCTCAATTTTAGTGCACCTTTAGGCATCGTTTAAAACAAAATTCTTTACATAAAAATTTGCAGAAAAAGCAAAGTGGCAAAATACTGAAAGGCAAAACCCTCTTCGAACTGGAGAGAAATCTTGGAATATTGCTTTTTTTTTTTTTTTAAGAGAGATAATAAATAATAGTGGAACATTCAAAGCATTTTAGATCGTTTCCACAACAGTCCTGTGAGGTAGATTGGCACTGTTATTTATCATACAAGATTGTGTGGTTGGGAAAGAGAGAACAAAGGAGGCGCTTAAATCGGTTGGAAACCGATATAATTTTAGCAATCTGACCCTCAGGAAGGATTTTGAACCCCAAATAGTTCAAGCGCTTTGTGTCACCCAACTTTTTAAAAGGACAGATTCTGGCAGCTATAGGACTAGTTTTTCATACTAGCCAGCCGTAAACGGTACGTGTGGTTGTGTGTTTATGTGCTCGTGTGGACACACAAACACACCAATATCTCCAATACAGCACAATAAAATAATAACATTAGATATTATCATAAAAATACATCCAATAAACTATTATTAAACTATTATTAAATTAAACTAGACATCGACTCAAAAAAAGGAATACTCAAATTTCAAAAAATGCCTGAGGCTTGGGGAAGGTTTTTAGCCCTGCAAAAAAGGGCTACGAAATTATTCCTGCGGTTAGCAGAAAAATGTTAATTCCCATCCTTTCATCCCATTCATTGTTTACATTTATATTAAGTAAATCTTCTTGACTTTCATTGTCCTTTAAATATTTGTTAAGGTGCTGGACTCTCTGGCTCTTTTAAAAGGAATAAAAAAAAAATAGGAAAGCAGACAGAGAGGTTGACTTTTTTGTGTGTAACACAACCCTGAGACGCGAATAAATACTCTGGTATTTCCACCTCAAAACTGGGTGGAAAAAAATATTTCAAGACAAGCTAGCGGCCTAGAAACTCTCCGTATCCAGCAAGATTTCTTCCTCTCTGTATGAAAAGAGGAGATGGGAAGGGAGGTCCAGAAGAAAGAGAAGGAGATAGGAGATGATAGGAGAGAGGAGAGAGGAGGAGGAGGAGAAGGAAGAGGAGGAGGAGGAGGAGGAGGAGAACAAGAGGAGGAGGAGGAGGAGAACAAGAGGAAGAAGAAGAAGAAGAAGAAGAAGAAGAAGAAGAAGAAGAAGAAGAAGAAGAAGAAGAAGAAGAAGAAGAAGAAGAAGAAGAAGAAGAAGAAAGAGGAGGAGAGGAAGAGGAGGAGAAGGAGGACCAGGCCAGGGTGGGCATCTTAGCATCACGTCTGCTTGTGACGACAATGTCCCAAAGCTTGCGCAGCGTGGCTGATGACTTTTGTGTATTTCCGGAGTATCTGGCAACCTTTCTGTTTTTTCTCAAAGCTGTCGGTGCTGGAATGATTGCCATAAGACACGTCCACGTGGTTGACTTTGTACTTGGAGCAGAGCAGGCAGGTGAGATTGGAGAGGAGGCCCGCGGTATTGTTGGTGGTATTTCTGAGCCGCCGTAGCAAGTCTTCTTTGGACTCAACATTGTTGTCGAGGCTTTCTTGGTCTTTGGTGATATTGTCCAAGGAGGCATTGAAGAAGACAAAGATCTTGTAGAGGTTGATCACCCTCTCCTTGTCACTCAGTGAGCTGACGAAAGGAGGAAACTCTTGGTCAGGCTCACAAAACTCATCCAACTTCTTCTTCTCGGTGAAAGGGTAGCCTTGGGTTCTGAGCTGTTTCGGAGAAAGAAGAGAACCAAATTTAGGAGGCGTAAAAACAACAATAACCATTCATTTTAGAAGACGAAGCAAAAGAGCCTTTCACTTAAACGGACAACCATTTAAATAGGAGCCAGCCATGTGGAACAGCTGCCAAAAAAGCCAACACAGTTCTAGGCTGCATCAACAGAGGGATAGAATCAAGATCACATGAAGTGTTAATACCACTTTATAAGGCCTTAGTAATAAGGCCACACTTGGAATATGGCATCCAGTTTTGGTCGCCATGATGTCAAAAAGATGTGGAGACTCTAGAAAGAGTGCAGAGAAGAGCAAGAAAGAGGATTAGGGGACTGGAGCTAAAACATATGAAGAAGGGTTGCAAGAACTGGGTATGTCTAGTCTGATGAAAAGAAGGACCAGGGGAGACATGAGAGCAGTCTTCCAATATCTCAGGGGCTTCCACAAAGAAGAGGGAGTCAAGTTATTCTCCAAAGCACCTGCCCCAAGGCCTTGTCCTGCTTGCCCCAAGCAGGACAAGAAACAATGGGTGGAAACTAATCAAGGTGAGAAGCAACCTAGAACTAAGGAGAACTTACCTGACAGTGAGAACAATTAACCAGTGGAACAACGTGCCTCCAGAAGTTGTGAATGCTCCAACACTGGAAGTTTTTAAGAAGATGTTGGGTAACCACTTGTCTGAAATGTTGGAGCATTCACAACTTCTGCAGGCAAGTTGTTCCACTGATTCATCGTTCTAACTGTCAGGAAATTTCTTCTTTTTTTTTAAAAAAAATAATTTTTATTAATTTCTTAATAATAATTTCTTATAATAATTACTAGCCGTTTCTAAAACAACTAACCTATCCAATCAGCGAAACCCAAAACCAAACATTCATTTTTTTTTTCACCTCCAGCACAAAGTCCAGAAGCGGTCTCCAAGTACAACGATACCTCGGTACTCATCCTTAATGGGTTCCGGGAGGCGCGATGAGTACCAAAAATAATGAGTAACAAAGAATTTTTTCCCATGAGGAATACTATACTGAGTCACAAGGCAGCCCGACCCAGACAAGTTCTAGCTTGCGGGTTGAGTACCAAACAAACAATGGGTACCAAGGTACCACTATAGAAACAAAATTAATCGTATTCTTTTCTTTAATCAAAGCCAGTCAATTTAGCCCATCTGTGCTAACTCCATTAACTTTTGGTTTACGGAGTTTCTCCGTCATCCAGGTCATGATTGTCCCAAAAGTCCAGATCATGGACTTTCTTGTTTTTTTTTCCCCCAAGATGTTTCGCTTCTCGTTTAAGAAGCTTCTTCGGTTCTTCTGAATGGTTCTTCAGATGGTGGGGAATGGAAGGATTCATACTCCTGACAGACAGCTGGTCATTTGCATTCTTTTTAGCCAGTCGTTAAGGTCTCCTGTGTCCTCAGGGTCATTTGCACTACTCTGGTGACCTTGAGGACACAGAAAAAAAATCTCCAAGTGGCCTCAAGGACTCTCTAAAAGGATGCAAATGACCAGCTGTCTGCAAGGAGTATAAATCCTTCCATTCCTCACTATCCTATCAGAGCTGAAGAAGCTTCTTGGATGAGAAGCAAAATGTCTTCAAAGAAAAACAAGGAAGTCCAGTTGCCTCCTGACAAAAAAAAATAATTGGGACTTTTGCGGTGATTCATCCATTGTAGGACTCCAAGTATCTATCCTTCCATTTCGGTGGACGAAACGGCATACAAATTTACGACGGTCATTCCGCTGACCGTCGTAAGTCAAGGTCTACCTGTACTTCGGATAGCCACAGGGATCACTTACGTAATGATCAAATAACGCTGGAGCTGACACGTTCAGATGTGACACCAGGCACCGGACTTGATCAAAGACAGGATGCTTGCAAGGCCGAACGTCGTGACACATGGAATTGTTGCCATTTTGGTGCAGAGGTTTTCCAGATGAGAATTTGCAGTGGTTGATCAGCAGCACGGAGATAACTCCTGGTTGGGAAAACAAAGCAGAGGTGGTGAATTTAAGTAAGAAAAGAAAAAAAAAAAGCAGATGAACCTCAGAAGCTTTATCTCACTTCGTTCTCGTTTTCCCACCTTCAGTCCCGATTTTGGCCACCATTTACAATTCTTTTTCCTTTTTTTAAAAAAAGAAAAATCACCTTTGCGTTTTGTTTACTTAAGTCACATACTTTGTAAAACTTTCAGGAAGGAGAAATATTACCCCTAACGCAGCGGTGAAACCCACATTTTTTTTTACTACCGGTTCTGTGGGCGTGGCTTGGTGGGCGTGGCAGGGGAAGGATACTGCAAAATCTCCATTCCCACCCCACTCCTGGGGGAAAGATACTGCAAAATCTCCATTTCCACCCCACTCTGGGGCCAGCCAAGAGGTGGTATTTGCCGGTTGTCCGAACTACTCAAAATTTCCGCGTTGTTACACTGACCCTTTCAATTCCACCCTTTTTTTTTTACACCGCGGTCGTTAAGTGAATGAGGTTGTAGAGCAAACCCCGTCATAAATGCAGTCCTACTGCCAAACACCCAATGTCCGTTCACATGACCACGGAAGCGACTGTTGGTATTTTGAACCTAGGTCTTAAGTCCCCTTTTTCGGATTTGGTCAAAACTTTTGCTAGGTTGCTCAGTACACAGTCATAAATCAAGGACTGGCTCTACCCAGTTCCTGAGCCTCACTCCCATTCCACTTGCATTTACGGCATCAGCCACTCTGCGAGTACACAACCGGACTGAATTAAGATGAAAAAGCGTTGCTATTAAGGATATGCTGGTTTTGGTATCCTATGATCTGATTCAAGATACAGAATTACAGAGTTGGAATAAACCTTGGCTGGGGAATTCTGGGAGCTGAAGTCCACCCATCTTCAAGCTTCCAAGGTTGAGAAACACTGCCCTAGACCATTTCAGATACCTCTCTGTCCAATCTCTTCTTAAAAGCCTCCACTGATGAAGCAATCACAACTTCTGGAGGCAAGCCTGATCAATTGTTGCTTAACTTAGGGGACTGGAAGCTAAAACATCCGAAGAACGGTGGCAGGAACTGGGTATATCTAGTTTAATGCAAAGAAGGATTAGAAGTGACATGATAGCAGTCTTCCAATATCTCAGGGGCTGCCCCAAAGAAGAGGCAGTCAAGCTATTCTCCAAAGCACTTGAGGGCAGGACAAGAAGCAACGGATGGAAACTCATCAAGGAGAGAAGCAACTTAGAACTAAGGAGGAATTTCCTGACAGTGAGAACAATTAACCAGTGGAACAACTTGCCTCCAGAAGTTGTAAATGCTCCAATATTGGAAGTTTTTAAGAAGAGGTTGGATAACCATTTGTCTGAAGTGGTGTAGGGTTTCCTGCCTCAGCAGGGGGTTGGACTAGAAGACCTCCAAGGTCCCTTCCAACTCTGTTGTTCTATTCTAACTGATGAACAGTTAACTGATGAATTGTTCTCACTGTCAGGAAATTTCTCCTTAATTCCAGATGGGATTTCCCTCTGACAAGCTTCCACCCGTTACTTCTCGTCTGCCCTCTGGTGCTTTGGAGAAGACATCAATCCCTTCTTCTCTGTACCAGTCCCTCAATTTGGCTCAAACATAGAATATAGAAGAACAGAAGTTATTAGAATCAAAACCTTTGATTCCAATAATAGACGAACGGAATTGGAAGGGACTTTGTCCAGCCCCCCTCTCTCCCCGTTCCAGCAGGAGACACCTACCCTATACCATTACAGACAAATAGCGATCCTGTCTCTCCTTAAAAGCCTCCAGGGATGGAGCAACCAGCAACTTCTGGAGGCATGCCATTCGACTCAGACCTGCCGTTCAAATTTTGGGTCCAAACAGCCGAGACGGCTCTAAGCATCACATCGCTGATTTCAATGCACCCAATCGATTCGACAGACTAACAACAACAAAAACCAGGAGGGGGTCCGGGCGGCCCCCCCCCCCCCCCCCCACTTCCTAACTGACGCTTAGCACCACTCTAACCTCCAGCAGCGACCCAGAACGATGATGAAGCAAAACAGAGATGGAAGAAATCCAGAAGGAGGAGGAGGAGGTGTCCAAAAAAGAAAAAAGTAAAAGGCGAAAGATTTATAGATTATAGCTCCCGTCACGATCTGTGTGTGAATAAATATCTTGTTGTAAAGAAATAAATAAAAAAAAAATTTTAAAAAAAGGAAAAAAAAAAGCAAGATTTCTGGAGGACGAAAGAGAAAAGGAAAGAGGCCCCAGCAAGGAATTTATTTAAAAAAACAAAACAAAACAAAACCAAAAAATAACAGGAAATCTAGAGAATCTTCAGCCTGGGCATGTCTACGTCAAAAACCGGCGCACCTCTTTGGAGAAAAATAATTGCACAAGACCCAGGGAATTCTGACACTCAAAGTTGTGATCTAGAGGGGGGGGCGGCAGAAAAAAAAAGATGGGGAGAAAGGTTGCGTGGTGATGAAACCCACGAGCTGGAAACTGCAATCCAGCGAATGTTACATCACACAGCGCAATGTGGTTGTTTTGTTAAGGCTGCAAATACAGGAAGGGGAATGCAAAGCCGATAGGGCTGGTTGTTTAGTTTGGGTTTTAAGCAAAATCGAGCCGGGGGGTGGTGGGGGGAGAGAGCCCTTCCTGAACCCTCAGTCTGCTTGAAAGCATGGCCACCGTTCCGATTTTGACCATTGAGCTTTCTGGTTCAGAAAAACTAGCTGACATTGCCTAAAGCGCATAGACCTGTCCTGTAAAAAAAAAAAAAAATAGATATCAAAGTATGCTCGTTCAATTAATGTGGATTTCTTTCATGGCATCTAAAACTCCCTTTTAAAAAAAAAAAACGACCCGGTAATCCCTTAATTCGTGGTAGAATCGGGAGCTGAGCGTTTACTAGCCGGATGCCCTTCCTGATGCCTACGCGGAGTTCACAGCAGATATTTTTCTCTTTGGGCCTTTTCTTTCATAGCACCGTGGATAGCAAAACCGGCAAAGCGTATCGATCTAATTAATAAATAAATGAAGATGACAGAGTTGGAAGGGAATTAAGAGATCATCAAGTCCGACCCCTTGCACTGGATGACGATCCAGCTCTGTCAACAGCTTCCAGTGAAAGGGAAGGAACATATCCCGCTGGTTGACAGCTCTTAGTAGCAAGCAGTTCTTCTGTATTTGCATCCTTGAAGTCTCATCCCATCAATGCGTCCTGGAGTCGAGAGGACGAAGGCCACCCAACTGGCTTTCTCCCTAAAGCTAAGACTTGAACTCACAACCTTTCCGTTTCTAACCTGATGCCTTTACATCAAACCGGTCCTCACCGCATCCTTACTTCCCACCCTGCCTCCCAGTTTTCTTTGAAAAGCAACACTTGGTTAAGAAAAGCATCTCTTTGAACGGTGAACCAGGTATTTTCCAGCCAATCAGGAATAGACCAAAAAAAAAAAAGGAAATATATATTTAAAAAAACACCTTTGCCTGAAATGCCCACATTTAGCAAAACCAGGCTTGTGATCCTCATCCGGAGATAAGAGAAAGGTGAAAGTTGGAAATCGGTTAATTCCAGCTGCATACATTGACAAAGATCAATGGCAATCTAAAAAAAACCAAGTCAAAACTTGGGAAAAGATTCGGATTCATCATTATGATTTTTTTTTACCTGCCACGAGGACTCTCATTGAAAGTTGCATCCTAGAGTGACGTAAGAGGAACAGGAGCTCGCAGAAGAGTTCATTCATAAAAGTGATGCCTAGAAAGGAAGAGTGTGACTGGTTATATACCGAATGAGACATGGGAGGGAAGCTGAGATCATTAATTACTTGGAGGGGGGGGATTTTTCTCCACACACACACACACACCCTTTGCATTTTTTAAAATACTCAAAAGCACACCACTCTCCAGTCGAGAAACCCAGCTTCATGCTTACATCACAGATGACTCAGCATAGGAAAAAGAATTCTTCCCCCCCCCCCACACACACACAGAAGACACAAACTTCAACAATCATTTCACAACCCGAGACGGAAAAAATAAAGGGTGACAGATCGCCCCCTGCTGGCTTCGCATGGTTTTTATTATTATTATTATTTGTATTGTTTTAGGCCAGGGATGGCTAACCTTTTTGCCGTCGTGTGCCAAAAGCGGGGGTGGGGGTCACACCCACATGTGCCTATACCCATAATTCAGTGAACCTCCCCCCACCCATGCGTGCGTGCAACACCCCTTCGCTCCCCCCGCTTTTGGGTCCAGTAGGCCCGTTTTTCGCCCTTCCCAAGCTCCAGATGCGTTCTTGGAGCCTGGGGAGGGCAAAAACGGCCTTCCCCATCCCCCCCCCCGGAGACCGGAAACGACCCATTTGCCAACTTCTGGTGGGACTGGAAGGCCCGTTTTTCGCCCCTCCCCAGGCTGCAGAGCCTTTCTAGGAGCCTGGGGAGGGCGAAAACGGCCTTCCCCACCCCCCTGGAGGCCCTTCGGAGGCTGGAAATAGCCTGTTTCCCGACTTCTCTCTCTCTCTCTTTCTCTGTCTCTCTCTCTCTTTCCCTCTTTCTCTCTGTCTCTCTGTCTCTCTGTGTGTCTTTCTTTTTTTTTTTTAAATTTGATTTTTATTATAACATATAGTGATACATTCGGTACATTTTCGGTTCATTGGTGCAATTATATACATATATACATCTACATGCGTTATTACTTGTCTTTTATTTGATATTGTTTCTTAAAGCTAGATTTAATTTCAAAACACTTAAAGATAATAGTGCTCAAATCTCTAAGACTAAATATAATACTATTCATATGGATTTTGTTAATTAATTAGTATTTAATCTCTATTTCCTTCTTTATTTCTTTTCCCCATCCATTGGTACCACATGTCCCACACGCTATAATATATAATATATATGTGTGTCTTTCTTTCTCTCTCTCCCTCTCTCTCTCCCTTTCTATCGCTCTCTCTGTGTCTCTCTCTCTCTTTCCCTCTCTCTCTCCCTCTCTTTCTTTCTCTCTCTCTCTCTCTCTCTCCCTTTCTATCGCTCTCTCTGTATCTCTCTCTCTTTCCCTCTCTCTCTCCCTCTCTTTCTCTTTCTCTCTCTCTCTCCCTCTCTCTCTCCCTTTCTATCACTCTCTCTGTGTCTCTCTCTCTTTCCCTCTCTCTCCCCCTCTCTTTCTCTCTCTCTCTCCCTCTCTCTCTCCCTTTCTATCGCTCTCTCTGTGTCTCTCTCTCTTTCCCTCTCTCTTTCTCTCCCTCTCTTTCTCTTTCTCTCTCTCTCTCCCTCTCTCTCTCCCTTTCTATCGCTCTCTCTGTGTCTCTCTCTCTTTCCCTCTCTCTTTCTCTCCCTCCCTCTCTTTCTCTTCTCTCTCTCTCTCCCTCTCTCTCTCCCTTTCTATCTCTCTCTCTGTGTCTCTCTCTCTTTCCCTCTCTCTTTCTCTCCCTCTCTTTCTCTTTCTCTCTCTCTCTCCCTCTCTCTCTCCCTTTCTTCTCTCTCTCTGTGTCTCTCTCTCTTTCCCTCTCTCTTTCTCTCCCTCTCTTTCTCTTTCTCTCTCTTTCTCTCTCTCTCTCAAGAATTTGTGGCGTTTGTATGTGATGCAATATAGATAGTTACAAAAGATGTTTAACTACATTAGATTAGGGGGCACACCCTTTTAGGTATATTTCTGAGCCATTAGTCAGCAGTTCCATATTTACACACAGAGAATGGAACGGATCACTTTTCTTGACAATTCATAGCCAGGGGTTTCTCTTCGCTTTTGTCTTGTCAAATACATTTCCAGTCTTAAAAAAACGTTCAAGCTGCATTCAGACAACCCACCTGATAAGTCGAGTTAAAAGACTCAATCAGGTAAGCCAGATTCGTTTAAAGTTAAAGGTTCCCCTTGCACATATGTGCTAGTTGTTCCTGACTCTAGGGGGCGGTGCTCATCTCCGTTTCAAAGCCAAAGAGCCAGCGCTGTCCGAAGACGTCTCCGTGGTCATGTGGCCGGCATGACTCAACGCCAAAGGCGCATGGAAAACGCTGTTCCCTTCCCACCAAAGGTGGTCCCTATTTTCCTACTTGCATTTTTGACCTGCTTTCGAACTGCTAGGTTGGCAGAAGCTGGGACAAGGAATGGGAGCTCACCTTGTTACACAGCACTAGGGATTCGAACCGCTGAACTGCCGACCTTTCGATCAACAAGCTCAGCATCTTAGTCACTGAGCCACTGCCTCCCTTAGATTCGTTTAGCAACGGCCTAATTAACTTAATAACCACGTTGAAGTGCTGAACAACGGTGGCAAAAACGATCATACATTTGGCCACTTGACAAATATCTCGCCTAGTTGTGGTCCCAACTATGCTGGTAAGTCAAGGATTTCCTATATCGTTCCTGTTTGAAATCTATGTTGACCTTTGTACCATTTAACTGAATTTCTGCTTTCTTTCCCTGGTGGAAAAGGATGGCGTCTTCAGTTTACATGTCTTAGACAGCTGGTCTGGCTCAATTATATAAACTGCTGGATTAGGAAAGACAAGGCCTAGGATCTGGTCCCCCCTTCAATCCCGGATGTAACCTGCAGGCCTTTGAGCTTCCTTCTCAGCCCAAGACTCAAACATGATCTAGATATTGAAAGTGTTGGGACTCGGAGCTAGAATAACAGAGTTGGAAGGGACCTTGGAGGTCTTCTAGTCCAACCCCCTGCTTACACAGGAAGCCCTCCACCACTTCAGACAAATGGTTTATCCAACATCTTCTTAAAAACTTCCAGTGTTGGAGCATTCACAACTTCTCAAGACAAGTCATTCCACTGATTAATTGTTCTCACTGTCAGGAAATTTCTCCTTAGTTCTAGGTTGCTTCTCTCCTTGATTAGTTTCCACCCATTGCTTCTTGTCCTGCCCTCAGGTGCTTTGGAGAATAGCTTGACTCCCTCTTCTTTGGGGCAGCCCCTGAGATATTGGAACGCTGCTATCATGTCTCCTCTAGTCCTTCTTTTCATTAAACTAGCCATGCCCAGTTCCTGCAACCGTTCATTGTATGTTTTAGCCTCCAGTCTTCTCATCATCCTGGTTGCTCTTCTCTGCACTCTTTCTAGAGTCTCCACATCTTTTTTTACATCATGGTAATGTCCCAAAACTGGGACATCCCATTTCCATTCTTCTCTTGGCCACCAAAGCTGAGGTTTGGTCTTAGTCCAACCTATCTCAACAGATTGTCCGGGGATGCAGTAAAAGAGATGGTGCTATGGACATCAGTCACTTCGAACAGTTGTACAAAAGATGGGATAGAAATAGAATAAATGAGTCAACAAACACCCAAGTTTCCTATCCAAAACTGCCTTGTTGACCAGGAATTCTGGAAGCACCTATTCTCCAAAGCACCTGAAGGCAGGACAAGAAGCAATGGGTGGAAACTAATCAAGGAGAAAAGCAATCTAGAACTAAGGAGGAAATTTCCTGACAGTGAGATCAATTAATCAGTGGAACAGCCTGCCTCGAGAAATTGCGAATGCTCCAACACTGGAAGTTTTTAAGAAGTGATTGGACAACTATTTGTATGAAATAGTATAAGGTTTCCTGCCTGAGCAGGGGGTTGGACTAGAAGACCTCCAAGGTCCCTTCCAACTCTGTTATTCTGAAGCTGAAGTCAATGCATCTCCAAACTTAGCAACTTTAACACTTGTGGACTTCAACACCCAGAATTCCCCAGCCAGCCTTGTCAAACGAGCACATCTAGACCAGCTTTTGCTACGGTTAGGTTTTGCCACCAGGCTCCCCTTGCTTTTTTCTCAGTTTGCTTTTTTGGAAGTTTTGAGTTTTTTTTTTTTTTTAATTTGATTTATATGCCGCCCTTTTCCGAAGACTCAGGGCGGCTTACAATGTGCTCAGCAATAGCCTTCATCCTTTTGTATATTTATACAAAGTCAGCTTATTGCCCCCACAAACTGGGTCCTCATTTCACCAACCTTAGAAAGGATGGAAGGCTGAGTCAACCTTGAGCCTTGGCGAGATTCGAACCCTGCAGTAATTGCAGGCAGCTGGTCTTAATAACCAGCTTAATAACAGGGTGCCTTAAACCCCTGTACTACCAAGGCTTGAAGGTTTGATGTAAGAATTTGCAATTGTTCTTTTCACAACGTTTTTTTTTTTCAGAAGAAGAGAAAGTCTTAAAATGAGCCATAATTCTACTGAATTATGGAAAAGCTTGAGGTTAAAACATTTAGGTTAAAGAAAACAAAGAAAAAACCAACAACTACGCTGACATTTCAGTCAAACCGATAAAGAAAATTATGAATAATTTCAAAATTCTCCCCCAAATGCAAATTAGGAAAGGAAGCGTCTTGGGTAGATATTGAAAGACGATTGCGGCATCGGTGAAGGGGAAAAAATATTTAATTTGCATCTGAATGTCAAACTATCTTTTTTTTTTGAGAAAACTCTCTTGTCTTTTAAAATTAATATATATTGATCATAGAGATGTGAGAGAGAGATAGAGAGAAGCAGTCCTTGTTTAGTAACCACACTTAGGAACCAAAACTTGGTCATTAAGCAAATGAGGCAGTGTTAAACGAAGACTACAGATAGATATACTGTAGATGATAGATAGATAGATTAGATAGATATGATGGATAATAGAGATGATAGATAATTATGGATTGATGAATGGATGGAGATGATGATAAATAGATGATAGATGATAGATGATAGATAAGATAGATAGATATGATGGATAA